ATTCCACACTTTAGAAGTATGATAAAATTCTCTACAAAGAGGTTGGCTTTTGTAATGCTAATACTTCTTAAATGATCTCTTTTGATTTCTGTTTGTTCATTTCTCTTAGGGACCTTTCCTAAGACAGGCTGCCCATGTTAGTGACAGTCGTGCAAAGACACAAGCAACCCTTTTCCCCAGGGAAATACTCTGATCACTTTACCACTGTTCTGCGCTTCATCATCAATAATCTTTCCCTCAGTCAGTCTGTGCGATTTCTCTAGTGACCAGGCAGTCCGATCAGTTCAAAAATTCACTTGGGTCTTGAATTCCCCTTCCCATCTACATATTGCAATCATGTAAGGATCATGGATTTGCTTAGTATTGACTAATTCAAAAACAAAACAAAAGCCAGTAGATTTTCTCTTATTCCTGTGGCATTTGGGTGCTGCACTGGAAAGAACATCATCAAAGGATGATAAAATACTATGTTTTGGAGTGAAGTTATATGTCTTTCTTATTTACTAGCCAGTGTCGATAGCAGTAAGAGTCAAGGTCAAGGAACTATTCAATTCAGGGAACTTTCAGGAAACCAAATGGGAAATTTTCATAAATCACTGCAGTTCTAGAGCTGAACTTGAAAAGTTTCATGTTAAGTCAATACTGTTATGTAGGGCTAGGAACCTGAATTTTGATATCAGACAGCTGTAGATTTGAAATCTGCCTCCTACTAGCTTTATGATATTCTGGCATCTACATGATTCTTGTACTACTACTGAGAATATCTAATCTGTGCTTATCATTTCCAAGAGTGTGATACTCAGGGTTTTATGGTGTTTATACTTACTCTCATTTAATCCTCATACAAACCTCATGAAGAAAGAARCTAATTCTTCTAGTACATTTAGTTGGCATTGATTCTGGGGCAGGTATTCAGTTATTTCAACTCCATATTCTAAGCTTTTAGTCACATTCAGCTGCCTTTCTGAACATCTGTCTCCCTATCGACAAGGTAAGTACAATAAAAAACTTTCTTGTAAGTTTATCAGGAGAATGAGGGATCACGTAGTAAGGCATAGCTTCTAAGACTGGTTATTCACCAACTCTGTTGGTGATGCCACTATTAGTAGTGATTTAAGACTTGGTCAGTGTCTGGTAGGAAGCATTCGCCATCTTTTCTTCTTTGAACACTATGCTATGAACCGAATCAAACTCTACTAACTTAGGAAAGTCTGGTAGAATTTCAATGGTTTGGGCAGGGTCAGCCAATGGGATCCTGCCTGGAAGTACACACACTCCGGTAATGTACTTGTAGATAAGATAGTCATTTCTTTCCTTTGGAGCCACAGGAACACAGACATGGGTCTGAACCCACAGTCCACAGTGTAATCTTTTTCTTCCCACAAAGAGAAGATCTTTCTCTCTGGTAGTTCTACAAGGCATGCTGCCTGGGATTTTGCCAGACAACATTTTAAAGTTATCTGGCCCAATAGCATCAAATGACTTTTTAAAAGATACTGGTAACCAAGAATCCCAATGCAAATATGGGCCTCTGGTCACATCCAAAGCAACAGCATCACTTTGGTGGCAATCCCTTCCTAAGCACAACAACTAACTGAGGCCAGTGTTAGAAAGCACCAGTGACTGTTACCTGTGAGCTTAAAGGCTGGATGTGTAAATGTTCAAGATACGCATTTATGCTATAGAAATACTTTCAGACCAGACATAGTAGGTACAGCACGGTCCTCCAAGCCTCCCATGCACCAAAGGAAAAGCCAGGACTGGACAGACAGCTTCTAATCCTTACATGAGCCTGCTGGTTGTCACCCAATGTTCTCTCACCCCACAATATACGGGCAGGCAGAGAACGTGCAATGCTACATCTGGAGCGCCTTCTGCTTGCTGCCCTGCAGCCATAATGGCTCCAGACCCTGGGTCATATGAAAAATACTTAACTAGTATATTACACAATTATTTAAATATGTCCCAGGCTAAAATTTCCATTTCTAAATAGTATTTCTCAACATGCAAACGTGGATCTCCCTACATCAGAGTCACCTGAGTGCTTGTCAGAAATGCAGATTCCTAAGCATATCTGTCTATTTATCAGTTTATTGTCTCCCTTTTGAGCATGTAAGAAGACCCTTGGAGTAGAAACTGGTCTGTTTATCCTAATACACCAGATTCTAAAACTTGTCAGCTCATAGTAAGCGTTCAATAAACAAAGTAACTCCACAAGCCTACACTGACCTGCTGAATTAAAATCCCAGGAACGGAGTCCAGAATCTGCACCTTAGACAAGTATTTATTTGATTGTTGTGTATACTAAGTTGCAGGAACCAGTGTTCCAAAGTAGTTCAGTTAATCCTAAGATCAAGAAAGAAAAGGCATTATTTTCAGAGGCCCCCCCCCCATATTCACTGTCTGGTCAGATATTAAGGTATAATAAACATTTTAATATCCTGGGGCTAAACTTTTCCTTCTAGTCTATACCTGAGACAAATGTCTGTCTACCCTCTGCCTTATGCCAGGCTCTAGGTTTCTCAGGGACAAGACACAAATGGGCTTGGAAGACAGAATGTCTAGGAAAGACTAGGGCCACTCCCACCTCTCTCCACTAAGCCAGAGGCAAACACTCAGTTGATTATTGAACAAGCTCCCTCCCCCTGCCCAAAGCTCACTGATAGAAAATGAAACACACTCTGTGTTCATTCCTGTTTCCAGACAAGCTTGGATGACACCTCTCATTCACCAAAATCAGATACTGTCTTATCCTGAAGGAATCCAATCTTTCCACAAGGCCCCTTCAAGTTTATTATGGAAGCTTGGCGTTTTATGTCTAGTTCCAGCCCATCTTTAACCATCAGCAACTTGTCTTGGGTAGGTGACTTGACTTTGACAGTCACTGCACCTCTCAACCCATTTCTTGTTTGGAAAAAAATGAGGTTTGACTAGTATCATGTCTGGAGCCTCTTCYAATTCAGGTGTTCTCTAACCTCTGGCTTCTCAGTGATACTTCACTGCCTTACAGTTAACAAAATGATCTGATGGGATTTGATGAGAAAATAATGATTGTCAAGCTTGTCTACTCAAATTTCTCCAAGCTTCTGGCAAACTAGGTAAATTTCAAGATTTGTAAAACAATTTCTAAGAATGCTTCTCTCGAGTTCCATGTTTACTTATGAAATTACTATGACAGTACTAATGTGCTCAGAACTGTTTGTAAAGGATTGATATAATGCCCAAATTTCCTCTGAAATGTGAACAGAGTTCACAATGTTCATAGCAGGACCAGAACATCACCTGGTCTTGGAAAGGTTGAATGTCACTGCTTGGCACAGTTTGCCCCCCCCCAGCTGTGAAGGATAGCAAAAATATAGGGAGCAAGACACCCTCCCTCTTCTCCCAAGTCTCCTGGGAATTCCTCAAAGGTGGGCCGCTCTGAATCTGAGCCCATACCCTTTGCACCAAATGTATCTGTAATGCCCTTTGTCTGATTCCAGCCCAACAAACTAATCACTACTAACTCGTCCATTACCATTGCCCAGGTAATTACATGTGAATTGCTTTGCTTTGGAAAACAATTTCACCTAAATCAATGATTCTCAGTGCTTTGAGGTTTATTGCCTGCTTTATATTCTAATTATTTTGTCACACCTCCTTTATTAGTCTGAAATAAAAATGGTACACAATATACCTACTCGATACTCACTGTATAATGCCCAAATTATTTTTAAAAATGAAGAAAAGTAGCTGGGAACAGTGGCTCACACCAGGAATCCCAGCAGCAGGAGGACCAGGAGTTCAAAGCCAGCCTCAACAATTTAGCAAGGCCCTAAGCAACTTAGTGAGCCCTGTCTCTAAATAAAATATAGAAAAGGTCTGGGGATGTGCTTCAATGGCGAAATACCCCAGGGTTCAATCCCTGATACCAAAAGAAAAAAAAAATGGAGAAGTAATTTGTAATAAAATAACATATTTCAATATGTTAAAGCTTAGGCAAGACAACACCATAAGATGTAATAAAGTCGCCCAGTACACCTTATTTTTCCAAATTCTTTATGATCCTGATATGAAAATCTTAGTAACCTTAGTGACTGTTTCACTGCCTGAAGCACCTTGTAACTACTCTGGTTTTTGTTTGTTATTTTCTTCTACTTGTAGTCTTGAAGTAGGAATGGCACACTACGTACAAACAATCTGGACAATTGAAGCTAACATTTATTGAATGCTTACCATATGCCACGTCCTTTTAAATCATTTCGCATTTGTTAACTTATTTAATTCTCGTAACTCGCTGTTATTTTCCAGGGATATTTGGCAAAGAAAATTAAGAAATTTTAGTGTAAGTTCACACTCCCAGCCATTTCTAGCTTTCTAGAAATCATCTCCAATTATCATAAAAATCAGCCAAGCTCTATCTATGTTTCTATCATAGAAAAGAAACATTTGGGGAATGAAATGATGTTCCTTGTTCCAATGCCATTTTACAGTTTGAGCCCAGGAGTCGCTGGCCTATTTTTTGCTTTTAGCCCTGGGAATCTACTTAGAGGGCTTTTGGACTTAATATTTTCATATGAATGTTTCAGAATGGATTCTTCTTGGCATTTTATCTTTATATGAATTGCAGATCCATTCACTAGACATTTTGGAATAAAAATTTTCTTTGTACACTCTCCATTCATTGCCAAATGCTTGCTCTGAATCAGACTTGTTTTAAGTGAATTAAGAGGATGAGTTAGAAAGCAGAGTAGGGGGACCCCATGACCATTTTACCAAGAACAACACAGCATGGTCAGGAGTCTCCCACATGTGCTAAGAAATTGTACTCTGACGTCACTCAGGGAAGTAAATGTGTTTTGTTTTCTTGGAAACTGCCAAGGAATTGTTTTAACTGAGCATTGTAATCAACAATATAGGGCTCAATTTTACCCTCATGTGGCTGCTTACATCATTGTCATGAAAGTAAATTATTCTAAACAAACCTATAATATATATATATATATWTTTTTTTCTTTCAGAGGGAAAATGATCCCATCTGATCTTGAAAGAAGAATCCTTGAAGCAAAACAGAAAGTAAGTTTTTGCAGAGATCTTTATCTAGCCCGTAACAAATCGAGGATCCAAATTTGTAATGAGGAGATCTCATTTATCTTTTATTTTTAAAACGGGATCCAATCCCAAACTCCCAGCTTTAATGAGAATCTGGAATTCTGCATCCAGCCTGTGTCTCTGAGTTATGTATAGGCTCTGCTTTAGAGAAACTTAAGTTCCTGAATAAAATATTTGCACAGAAATATTGTCAGAGTTCCCAAAGCTTTTGTCTCCCTGTGTGTCGAGGGTTGGCATTAAGCAGACACACATTTGGAAGATCATCTTCACAAGTAGGAAGCAGCAGAATGCATTTTCCTGCCCTCAGCACATGCCTAGATGATTGGTGCTCCATATATCTCATTTTACTGGCAACCATTTAGAAGTCTTTTTAGAAGTTAACAAGTTCTGAAGAATCACCACAAAGCTCTGGAAAGTCATCCCCTCCCTGGATTGGTTTGTAAGTCAGAGAGTTTGGTTTTAGAATTCTCTGTTTAATATTTGGTTTTAGAATTCTCTGTCAATATAATCTATGGTTCCTGGTTCGGTACAATATTTGTGCATTTTATTATTAAGAACTCAGAAATAATTATTTTCCGTATACTTTTCTCCCTACAACCTGATTTTTGCACCAGAATATTTCCAGTCACATAAACCATAAAATTAAACCTTTGCTGCCACCTAAAGACCGATTCTGTAACATCATGTTCTATAAATCAACAGGACACAGTCATAGGATGAGTGACTAGACTGATCCTATTTGTGGCATTCTTCCCCGGATGCCTTCAGCCACAGCCTATTATTTCCATCAATTTTCATTTAGCCATGGCCAGACAGACTGAGGGATACTTAGATGGATGAAAGCCCTGGCTTATTGTTTAGCTCCATGTGAACCATCCCTTCTGAAAGGCTCCACATAAATTATTGGAGCATTTTCCAAATAGCATTTTCCAAACAGGCTAGTCAGGGTTCCTTCTCTTCCTTCTGCCTGCTCATGCTGGGAGATGTATTAAGTTCAAAGACCCCCACGGTACAAAAGGAAGACTAGAAAATTAGCAAAGAGAGTAAAGGGAGCCAGAAAGTCCACCTGGAGCACACAAATGTCTTGTGGACACCACTCACAACCTTGGGTTCCACTTAGCCTCTTTGAGGAACAGAATGTCTGTTTTCACAAGACAATGGTCAGGACCAGCAGAATGACCTGGATTCTGTGGAGTGGACATTGATTTGTACCAAGCTTCAGGGGGGTGATAACCCTTCTGAGGGTTTCAAAGGGGCAAAGGAGTATGAGAGGGGATGGGGTTCCATTGATTTTAAATCAGCTTTTAGAAGAAACCTTGAACCCCTAATTACATTATTTGGGGCTCTCTCATTTGTGTAGGGATATGTTCCTTTCCTTGTGAGTGCCACAGCTGGAACCACTGTGTATGGAGCATTCGATCCCCTCTTGGCGGTTGCTGACATTTGCAAAAAGTATAAGATTTGGATGCACGTGGATGTAAGTATCCCTCAGGGACTGGCCAGTAAAATGTCCTTGCACATTTTTCATCTGGGTCTCATGGAATATAATTTCTTTTTTTTTTTAACTTATGCAGCTTTGTTTTCAGAATAGTGGTATTTAAGCTTTTCACAGTTTCACAGGCAAATTAACACACAACTGATATGTCATACAGAATTTGCTCAAATAGTTGTCTACATTCTCAATCTCAGATTGCTAATCCAATTTTAAATATCTCAAATAAATCTTGTGTATCATTCCCCCCCAAAAAAAAATTTGCTCAAGCAGCCTGAGGTGATTCTGTTTTAAATTTCCCAACACGAAGATATTCTTATTTCTATGGTCAGTGCTCAAACTGATCACGGTTCTCAATTCTTTGAGCCATATGCCTTGGAGGAACATATCCTGCTCAGTCAGGTGCATGCAGCTCTTCCTTCCTTAAAAGAATAAAAAGGTAAAAAAAATTCATTTATATAGGAAATTCAGAGAATAAATGACTTTGGCCCAAGTTAAATATTTGTATATTTGGGGAGGAAAGCAAGTTTGACAACTTAATAGGAAATACAGATTATCAGATTTCTAGTCTCTCAGCTTGGTCAACCAAGAAGCTGAATTATATTTGAGATGTTTTGATTCCAGATTTAATCACACACAAAAAATAATGGAAGCATACCACCTTTTTCAAATAAAAAAAAAAGAGTCAAGTTTTAGAAGGATGAATTGAAGGGATTTAAGTTTAGATCCTTTTTACTCAAAGGCTGGCTTGAAGATCAGCTGTTATCTGCAAATTGTTTGCTAATAATCCATGGTGAGGTAAAGAGAGTGCCAAACCATCACTAATAACAAACCACCACAAACTAATCACAATGTTTAGTTTCCTTGTCTTGTTTTCATTGTAAACTCTCTCAATAAAGGAAGCTGTAAGTTGATATATATTCTGGTGCAAGATCCTTATGCTGCTATGGGTCTGGGATCATTTTGGCTTGCCACTTTAACTGTAGTAATGGGTGACCTTAGTGATTCTCAGTGATAGTAATGAGGTTGGGGGAAGGATCTATCTCCTTCTCATGTAAACTGAACTGTGCCTCAAAATTTGGCTTCTTATACCCACATAAGTGTAGGAAAAAATCTGAGACCTTAGGATGTTTCTCTAACTCAAACTTTAATGGTCTGCTCCCTTCATTTGCCTGGGGTCAAGCAGATCATTTTCATACTATGAGACTCTTCATCTGTAAGATACCAAACTATAGACATCTAGGTAATTAAAAACGGCTACTTTTTCCTTTGTCTGATCCTTTTCAGGCAGCTTGGGGAGGGGGATTACTGATGTCCCGGAAACATAAGTGGAAGCTGAGCGGCGTGGAGAGGTACGTGCATTTTCTCTTGTTAACAACATAAAGCATTGAAAGATAAATGTGAAAAGCAAATGCATTGCATTTTCAGTATCTTTAGGATGTAGCTGAGCCCCCTCTGCTCCATTCTCATGTGCCTTGCCTTGTGTGAATCACATTCAGGAATACTATGTGTAAGCTACAAAAATAAATAAAATGAAATCCCATATCGAGTGACCTCAATAGAACAGTTCTCAGGCATAAAAATTCTTACTTGGGCTCCATTCTTGAGATCTCTGAACCAACTACCAGTATCATTTAAAATCTTCAAGTAGTCCATATTTTCCTAGGAAGGAAGAGGTTCTATAGCTTTCAAGTTCCTTAAACAGATAACATGCACTGCTTTCCAGAAGGCTGTAAATAAATTTTTCACACCAAATAAGCACCTTGGAAGTTATCAATGTTGAAAGTTCAGATTTGGAATTAAATATAGTCAGTTAACTTAAAGTGAGGCATGCTCAAGATAACCTCATGTCATGGCTTCGTCCCATAGTAACCCTTTTCTTGCATAGTTCTGATTGATGCTGGAAAGTAGCTCTTATTTAGAGACTAAGCAGTAGACCATTGAGAAAAGCTGAAAAACACAAAGGAGGTCATATCTGATTATCATGAAGCAAATTCAGGTCCAAAGGGGGGGAATGCAGAATGTAAGCTACAGCCGCAGGCTCTGGTTCTGGACCATGTGCAAAGGGAGTAGAGTTTTCCCATCACGACATGGCCAGTCAGCCAGGTCAACCACAGTTGTGAGCTCTGACACTCTCTCTGACACTGAGAAAGGCTGAATTCATTAGAGGCTGCCAAATGCCCACCATGCCCTGCCAAGTAGCCAGATGCTACCCAGGAAAAGGTTCACACTGGCTCTGCCCCCAGACATTTTGGCACAATTTCTGTTCCAGGGCAAGGAGAAAGGCTGATGAAGTTTTAGAGCATCTGTCAACATTGGTCATACAGGGCACGCAGGCCAGAGAGAATGTGTGGAGTGTGCTGTGTGACACCCAGGCCAGAGGGAATGTGCAGAGTGTGTTGTGTGTCAGGCAGACCTATCATGTGCAGAGAACTCAATGTGGAGATGGACGTGTATTCCCTGCTAAATTAGTAGAAAAAAGATTAGGGAAGTATTGGGACAGACCAACCAAACCCCATGTCACAGGGTGACTGTCCCAGATCTGCTCATTAACGTAAAGTCTAGCCTAGGCATTTCTGAGTTAAGGCACTAGAGCTGCCCATGCTTGAATGGCAGGACATATTAAATGAGGAGGAATATCGGCAGGGATCATCATCCTCCCACAGTCTATCAGTTCTAGGGCTCTGCTCCTGGCCCTTCAGGCTTCTTCCAAGTCTAATATCTTAAGAAAGGTACAATGAACTAAACAAGGAGAGACAATGAAGAGAGAGAGAGAGAGAGAGAGAGAGAGAGAGAGAGAGAGAGAGAGAGAGAGAGAGAGAGAGAGAGAGAGAGAGAGAGAGAGAGAGAGAGAGAGAGAGAGAGCTTGAAAGGTGCTGCCCAATGCTGAGAATAATTAAATTCAGAGCTATGGGTGTGACTCAGTGGTAGAGTATTTGCCTAGCATAGTTAAATCCCCAGCAACACACACACACACACACACACACACACACACACACATACATACACACACACACACACCTCGACCTGCGTGGCTGTTAATTCAGAAACCAGTGAAAGGCAATGGCGGATGGAGAAAAGACAAACAGATACACATAGAAAAATCTGGGGCCCAATGGTCATTACACCCTGATAGAGATATAATGACCCAAGCTAGCTCAGCACATTTATTATATTATTATTATTTTAACATCAAAAGGATTTTGTGTGTGTGTGAGAGAAAGTTTATTCAAAGCATGTAGGACAAAAGATGAACTTCTGGGCAGCCCAATTATAATTACCAACTTTGCACTCATAATTGTTTATCCCCAGCAGCTGATGTTTGATCTCAGGGTCAAGACTGAGAGTCCACGTGGCAAGCATGGAAACTCCTTTGAACAGGGTGTCACCACAGTGTCACAATCAGAGACCATGATTCAAATCACCCTTACACACACACACACACACACACACACACACACACACACTAAATCCAAGTACTTTCAGCCTATGTACAGTACTTTCTTTTCTGTGAGTTTCTTTCTGACTAGAACAAAAGGTGAGCACTTATATTTTACCTCTAATGCCACCCATGGCTGCAAAATCTGGAAACTACAGAGGCAACCTCCCCTTGAAGGCTCTCTAAATTACCTATCCAAAGCCTCAGAAAAACAAACACCCACACACTTTTGTACTGAAGACTATTATTTGAAAGCAAAGCTTGGAATGTTCATCATGGAACACAGAGTCCTCTATGTTCTTATACCACAATTCCTGATACTTGTTATAATTAAATATACTACCGGAATAAACAGATACAGAGCCTAAAGTAAGGGAACTGTCGGTGTTCTGCTTCAAGCAGGACTCCCTTAGTTACATTTACCTGAAAGGGTACATCTTGCTGACTTCTTAGCATGAGGCACACTCTTCTTTGGTGAATTAAGGCTGTAGGACCAGTGTCATCTACTGGGGCCTCATGTGCAGGGGCTTGAGTTTAGGAATTGCCTCACTTGAGGCAATTACTCTTTTCTGAGCATCACAAACCAAGCTAAAGAACTCATTCTACAAGTGAAGGGAAAATCTATGGTTAATTTCTGTACCCAAATCCAGCTCTTTMTCGTGGTCACAGAGATCCCCAAATGGCATCCTCCAAGATGGCAAAGCCCTGGAGTCCTGCCTGGTAACCCCTTTCAGAATCAACCGAATCCTCATAAGATGGCTCTCATCCTTCCTAGTTCTGTCAAAATTGCTAGAACTGGTGTATCTGGGGGGCACGCCACAAGCCCTGCCTCTCCCGAGCGTGTTGCTACATTGTTCACCAATATTCCTTTAGTCCCCCTCCTCTGGGAAACCCCTTGCCTGTAAGAGTTCTTTGCCATTCTCAAGTCCACTCCCAAGGCTTTAAGGCCCCGCTGAAGGAACCAGGGCTGCAGCTGCTGCATGACCAGCTGCCCTCATTCCCAGCTGAGAACCGAGGGCCCAGACATTCATTCAACAGTTGCAGACCCAAGATGAGTATGAGATGAAGCCTATCTTGAAGGAGCTTCAAATCCAGTAGGAAAGACTGACAATTAACAATGGATTAAAATTCAAGGCAGTGGCAGTGAAGTCTCAAGAGACAGGCAAGTGAGCTGACTGGAGAGCAAGGGAGAAGGAAAGACCTAGGCAGCATTTTTATAGGGAATGTCCATCATGCATCAGCATTGGAGCTTAGAAGCATACCGTGAGGGATAAGTAGAAATGAAAAAATGTCTTCAGGCTGAAGAGCAGAGACCCAAAAGTTTAAAAGTGCATAGGGTCCTTGGAGAAATTTAAGACAAATTTAGTTGAAGGAAGAGGTAGATCCATGGCGGTGGTTAGGAGGAGACTGATGGAAAGTACAGAGTCCTGTCCAGGGGGTGCTGTCCACATAACTAGACCCCTCAGCTGGAAATCAAGGTAATGTGTTTTTGTCCTCCAGTCGGGACAAAAAAGATGGAAACCCTGAGCTGTAGGATCCATAGCCAGGTTTTGAGCAGAGGAGGGATGCCTCACTTGTGTTTGGAAAGACAGCTGCGCATTAGGGAGCAGATGGAAGCTGGGCACTAGATCTGTGAGACAGCACCTGCCCATCCAGGTGCGGGAGGTGAGAGCAGCTGACATTGGCTGCAGTAGCAACTGGAGAGGGGTGAGTGGATGGCCCAGGAAAGGAAAGTGAAACCACAAAGGGTGACATCAGGAGAGGAGGGGAGAGTGAAACCAAACCAGTACTGAAGTTTGGGGGCTGAAAGCCTAGGAGGAAAGTGGTGCCAGGAACCAGGATCTAGAGAAGAGAGAATAGCTCTGAAAGGCTGAGCTGTAGGAAGCTACTGGGTTCATTTGGGAGCTGCTGATTTGAGGTATAGACAGAGGAACAAGGGTCTGTCTTAAAATAGCCCTAAAGGATTCAGTTCTTATGGAACTTAGGGAAAACTACAGAAGCCACATAGCCGAATCCCACCGCAGAGCATTTTGCAATGAACCCGAGGCTGTTTTACGTAAATTGCCAACATTTCTCAAATAAACTAAGGCCATGTCATCGAATCATTCCGTGCAGCTTTTTGTCATCTTTATGAGACATCTTTATGCCTTGGAGAGAAAGGCAAGACAGAATTAAGAGACAAGTGGTTGTGTACCTTGGAAGCTTCTGTCCCCAAAAGACAAATAGGCCATGCATGCAAATAAATACTCACTATCACAGGAATGAAACTGAGGTTTTGTTGTCCTAGCAGGCATCTTTATTGATAAAGCCAAGTTCATCAGGATTAGACAGATAGCTATAAATTGTTATAGAATGATGGCATGCATGTACCCATTGTCACAGAGCTTATGAATGACAGGGATGAAATCAATAGCAAGATCCAACCATATTTAATGCTTACAGCTACAAAACTCTTACCCATACTATTTACTACTATTTCTTCTCTTACAGAGGAGCCATCTAGGTACAGAGAGATTAAGTAACTTGTTCAAGGTCACACAGCTAGGAAGTAATGAAACCTTAATTCCTTGAAGGAAGTTGAATGGGGCTGCAGAGATAATACTTCAAGAATCTGAGACCTTAAAGAACAAGTAAGAGTTAACCAACCCAGTGAAGCCAAGGAAGACAACATTCTAGGACAAGGAGATAGCATTAAAGGACCTGGGAGCACAGGAATATAATTTTCTGGGAACAAAAAAAAATCTGGCATGATGAAAATAGATAAAGCGAAGGGACACAAGCCTGAACACACAATATCAGAGCTCACTCTGGGGGCATCATGAACCATGCCTTACAGTTTGGAATTTGGGCTGAAGGCAACAGGGAGCCACCAACGATTAAGAGAGTTCAGAGACTTGAGATGTAGCTTGGTGGTACAGTGTTTGCCTAGCATGTGCAAGGCCTTGGGTTCAATCCCCAGAATAATAATAATAATAGAAGAAGAAGAAGAAGAAAAACAAAAGAGAGCAATAAACAGCTAGAAGATAATTCTGATACCAGGTAGAGGAAAGAGGCAGCTAAGACACCAGATTAAAATAACAATAATTCTTATTAAAGAAATCTGAATCAGGACTATGGTTCAGGCTTTTCAAACAGCATAAGCCCCTGAGCCGGGCACCACCATTGTGTGAGAAGCACTGGATCGCTCAGTGATTTAATCTCAGGAAAGATTAAAAGTCTCTGCTGTGGGAGCCACAGCATGGCTCACCCAGGGGCTGGAAAGACAGCTCTGGGTTAGAGAAGACATGGATGCAGGGGACGAGGCAGAATGTCCTACAAAAGGACACCTTTGAGAAGTCTGGTCACTGATCAATAAGAAGGAGAAAGTAGGTACAGGAAACAGGTATATTGTGCAGTGGAAGGAGTGTCCCCTCTGAGCTGCAGGCCACGGCCACAGTGACAGCACAGGAGCAGTGGAGGTACACAAGGTACTGATCACCAGTGACCAAGGGCAGGACCCTGAGCTCTGTGACTCTGGTCTCTTTGAGGCTGAGACCACCTTGGAGGCAGAACTCAGGTTTGCCTGGGGCTTGGGAGAGGAGACACATGGAGAACCATGCCCTCACCTGCCATGTCCTTGGACAGAACACTCGTACAGTTAGGAGTGCATCTCAGTTTTGTGACCGTGGTGTCATCCTGGAGTGGCAGAGGCGGTGCCAGCACACTGAAGCTCACGGCCCCTGTGCAGAGCCTCAGCAATCTGCGCCTGACAYGGGTGCCACCTGCTTACCTAATGTGTTTGTCTTAGGGCCAACTCTGTGACATGGAATCCACACAAGATGATGGGAGTCCCTCTGCAGTGCTCCGCCTTCCTGGTTAGAGAAGAGGTAGGTCTTCCCTGATTCTGTGTCCCAGCCCTTGGGTGGGGTTTGGTGGTCTTTGCAGAGARGACTTTCTTTGGAACCATCAGGATCTTTAGGTCTTCCTTCCTGCGTGGCTCACACTCTCCAGAAAGCACTCCTCCAAACTGCTGTCGGGAGGGTGGGCAGCAGGTGTCAGGAGGTCCAAAAAGGCTCAGGAGACCTAAACCTTCAGAATAGAAACTTCAGACTAATCTCCATGCTTTCAGTATAAGCCTCCTTTCCTCAGCTACACTTGGTGTCCCTGACCCAGAGACCCTCCATGCTACTCTCTTAGAAAATTAAATTTCCAGTTTTCTTCTAGAATATGAGAAGAAGCAATTTTTTACCATAAGAAAAAAAGAAAAATTATAGTTTTTACCATAAGGAAAAATATGCATGATATAGGATTAGTGTATTATATATCAAATAATTCTGTCCTATTTGATTTAATATTTAATACCACAATCRGAATGTAAGGCATCTGCATATGTATATATGTATTAATCAGCAAAGRAGAGAATAAGCAAAGACCATTTTTATTAAAGATTCTTCTATGAATAAAGTCTAAAGTCACTGTGCAGATATTTACTGTGCCTCTGTGTCTCCCTCGTATGAGGGAGAAAGGAGGCAGAAGCCACAGCTCACTCCTATGCTTATTTTGTTGATAAGACCCATCAAATAAAGAGTTTTTATTTTGTTAGAATCAATAAGGCAACCTCACATTGAAGAGACTTTTAAGTATTTATCTTTACTTGCTTTAAAATATTTTGTTTTTCTATTATAAACTCGATGTATAATTATTTAAGAAAATTTGGGCAGGACAGAAAATAGAATTTAGAGTTGGCCAAAATTCTGTCATTTGAAGATAAAAGTTATTTACTGTCTTAAAATATTTTCTCCTACAATTTTCTAGGAATATATATATCATATGTTTATATATGTATTTATAATAAATACATATATTAAGTAGCCTTGCTATCATCTACATCATATATACATTTTTCTTTTTATACTTAATATCATATTATAAACATGATATTCCATAATGTGATTTTTCATGGCCTCAATATATCCTATTTTATGAGACATAATGGTTTGATAAAATCCTTAAACATGTATCTTTGATCACATTCCTGATTATTTTCTTAAAGTAGATTCTTCAGAGTGGAATTGCTAGGTCAAGGCATATTATTTCTATGGTTCTTAATACCTCCTCTTGGCAACTGCAAATTTCAGCAACGTGCCTTCTGTCTGCATCAAATAAATTAAAATTTTGACACAGGATTGAAGACAGACTGCCTTTCCAAAACAAGATGAATGCATTGAAAAAAACCTTTCAAACTGGTTGTTCATCAAGTAAACATCCAGTTTGATATATTCTCATCAATTCTAGCTCATGCATACTCCAGCTGTATTACCTGAAGGGAAAAACAAGTTTGTTTGTTTTTTTTTAATATTTATCCTTAAGTTTTAGGTGGACACAATATCTTTATTTTACATTTTTTTATGTGGTGCTGAGGATCTAACCCAGTGCCTCGTGCATGCTAGGCAAGCACTCTACCACTGCGCCACAACCTCAGCCTGAAAAACAAGTTTTTGTTACTTAGATTTCAGACAGATGTTTGACAGTGGCTCCCTTAGATCTATCACCATAGATTCAAAATGTAATGTCAGCCAACAGGCAGATTCGGAAGTGATTAGATGACTGCATGGGAAAGACCTGCTGATAGGTAATTTAATATTTGTTCTCCAGRAGAGACTCGTGGCTTGGCATCTAACCCTCTTCCATTCAAAATATTCATTGATGGTTTGAGTAAAACACAGAAGTTTATTTTAGTTTCAGATGAGAAGAAGCTGGAAGAGAGAGGAGATAAGTGTAGTGACRGAATCAGAATACAAGATGAGTTTTACAGACTGGTCCTGCAAGCCACAGTTAAGAAAGGGAAGTTGTTCATGGGAATCATTGCAAAGCTCTGCCCTTAGGTCCAAGGATGGGTGATTATTTTGACTGAACATAGCAGCCTTGTTTCACACATAGCTAAATTGTTGGACTTGTGTAAATAAAAGATGTAGGACTTTAGGTTGTACTCTTCAGGATCAACCAGGAATAATAATAAAAATAAAATTATCCAAATAACTATGGCTTCTGTGTGTGTGTGATGCTGGGGATTGAACCCAGGGCCTTGTGTATACAAGGCAAGCACTCTATCAACTGAGCTCTATGCCCAGCCCTCAAATGACTATGAATGAGATAAAAGAAGTCAACTTTCAGCAGAGAGATGTGGTAGGGTCCCATGCCCTCTGGTTAAACCAGGGCTTGCAGTGCTTTGCTTAGCTCTGTGCCAAATCTTATATGGGACCTCATCAAGCAAGAATTCCAACATAGAGGAACCATTGATGAACATGCAAAGGGGAATGGCTCAAAGATTTAACCTGGGAGAAGAAAAAGAAAACAAACGTACTAAAGGGCTGAGAAGGGGAGAGGCACTTTCACAGTTTGGGACTCTCAAGTGAAAGAGATTCATTTTGCTTTGTTTTCCCAAGCATTTGTGAAGGTGGGGGGTGGGTTAATAACACCGGGTGACACAAATTTGGTGGCAAAAATCATAATACACAGTGGATTTTAAGTTTGACTTGGGGTTGATAAAAGCAATACTTTTTTTAAAGTAAGCTTTTTGATAGTAGGAATAAGCTAATCATCAGGAGAGATGAATGAATATGGATTGGACAACCACATGTGAGTAACACAATAGGTAGGATTCCTTAATTGGATAGAAATAGATTAAATGAGCTCTAAACTCCCTTCCAAATCCAAGAGTTTATAATGTTCTCATAAACAGCTTATTTTTTTTCCTTGGGTCCAAGAAATAATAGCATCTTATAAGATGGCAATAATTTTTCTGTGGTTATAGAGATCTCTGCTTAAAAAAGATGGAGATATTTTGAATTAGAGTTAAAACAAGTTTTAATATTTCTGGAGTTATTGAAGACTTTCATACAGTGCCTGAAAAAGAGGGATTTATGATGCAGAGTTTCCTAAATTTATTTGAGTTTGAGAACTCCATTTTGTATAGCARCTGTACAAAATGATGGTTGATAGCWACCAGAACCAGGTAGTTTGCTCATTAGAGACTTATGCATGGATATTGTCATCACCTTTCTTTGTTCTTTTGCATAGAGTAAGACTGGTGTGGCCCAGCATKTAGAGTTAAGCGCTTTGAGTCGTTTTTTCTTAGGTGGATCTTGGTCTGATCCATCCAACTTGGGAGGATCTGTCTGATCCATCCACCCTTCCACACTCTCTGAGATGGTCCCCCTTAGTTTCAATGGCATCTAATCTGTGAGTTTACATGGCCAGAGAAAGAACCATACAAAGTTTCTGTGAATGAATCAAGATGGAAGCACATATTGTAATTTTCACGTCTTATTTGTCTCCAAGTGAATTTTCTTTTGTGAATTCTTTCTACTGATCCAATACAAATATGTCATATTTAATTTTTCTTATTCACAAAGTAACTTGGTGGATTCCATGAATAGGAAGTACCAGGTAAAGTCCAGTTCTCTTTTCTACCACTGGGGCACTCTGTCTTTCAAAACCTGGTTGAACTTTTGGTTGCATTTCACAGTGTCTTAGGATATTTTTAAAAATGAGTTCCCATTTCTAACTTCAACTCAGTGATCACATTGTAGTCTTTTCTTCCCTTGTCATGAGTCACACTAGAAGCAAAATCCAAATGCCAAAGCTTTTATAAAATCGCAATTACACGGTAGAAAACAAGAGTCACAGGCTTCCAGTAGTTCRTGACAAATTGAAACGTGGTGGGGTTTCCAGGGAGGAGACTGGCAATGCTATTTTAGTCAGAAAGCATGATTCATGCACTGTTCTTGGGAATGTTTGATCACTTTGTCACTCATTTCTGTGGCAGAGCCATGGTACCCGGGCAAATTCATGATCACGGACAATAAAATTTTCCTTTGCAACTTCCACAATCAAAGAACCCTGACCACTGAGATGGAACATGACATGGGAAAGATTGGTTACTTAAATTCATCTCAGAATTGCAATGTCTTTGCTTTTTGAGATTTTAGCACATACAATAACAGCAATAAAACCTTATGGTTTTCAAAGACAACTTGAGCTACATGATAAAATCCTTCAASGAGATATAGATGGAAGTGCTATAAAAACCACACTAACAGTATTTTACAGAATTGGATAATTTACAAAATATTCTAATTATAATTAATTATTCAGAACATCAGAATGTTTTCCCAAAGAATGAGCATTACACTGACTGCTTGCTCTTCCTTCCTTCCTTCCTTCCTTCCTTCCTTCCTTCCTTCCTTCCTTTCTTCCTTCCTTCCTTCCTTCCTATAAAAATGCCTTCTCTTAAAAGGAAGAGTAGAAATATACATCCTTGTTAGTTTTGGTAACATTCAATCCTGAGCTTTTTATCCCAGAGTTAACCTATGACAGTAGCCTGCCTGGACAGTCCTGTTCAGAAGTTGGCCCCATCTTTTCTTAATCTCTCTCTTTCTTATTCTTATTGTTTTCTTTTCACAAGACATACAACATCCCTTTTGTTTACTTTTCTCTTAATAATTCCTACCACAGTGTAAAGCTAATGGATAATTGGTAGCGTTTCCTAAACCTCCTCTTTTTTTCTTTTAGGGATTGATGCAGAGTTGCAACCAGATGCATGCCTCCTACCTCTTCCAGCAAGATAAACACTACGACCTGTCCTATGACACTGGAGACAAGGCCTTGCAGTGTGGACGCCATGTCGATGTTTTTAAACTATGGCTAATGTGGAGGGCAAAGGTGAGTGGGTGCAGACCAGCTGAATGTCAACTAGAGGTTGGGGGCGACCTTATCTGTGTTAAGGAACTGATTATCAAACTGAAAATCACTCACTCAAGATAGAGTTTCTTTAATCCTATATCTACAACATTCTACATGGGAAAGAGTATAATCAARCCCATTGTTTGTTTCCTTTTTGGCCCAACTATTTTAATGCCCACACTCATCTAGAAAACAAATCAATTTTGATACACATGGCAGAACATCTTGATTTTTGAGAGATATTTCTTCTTATTGTCATCATCATTTTTCTTGGATTTATTTTATCACCTACTCTTGGCTTGTACCCACTGGTGGATCATCTAGGTCGTTGAATGCATTCTGAAAGTATATGTTTGGAAAATAAAAAAGGGTKGTTCCACCATGATAACTTGTTTTTGACATTTCAAAGCATAACCTCTAATGACAGGGCTCTTTTTAAAGCTCCAGAAGTACTTAACTACCTCCTTCTGTATGGGTTCTGTTTAGCTTAGAGTTCACCTGTAAGTGGTCTCTCCTCTCCCTGTAGGATAAACTCTGTAACTAATGGTGTGCACAACTGGCTGGATCTCACTATTGCCTTCCAAGAGAATAGATTTATATTAAATGAAAGCAGGCTGGAAAGGTCAAAGATTTCACTTTTAATTTTGACCAGATTCTCAAYTTACAGATCACAAATCAGTCATTTCCACCAGATTTCATTTATCTCCATGCAATGGCCAAAGCTGTCTATATAGTATAAACATTCAACTTTAAAAAAACCATTCCAGGAAAATCTGATGAAGGAAATGAGAAAGGGGAAAATGAAAGGAAGCTGGTATGCCCTGAGGTCTTGCATGCTTGGCTCTAAGCTTTGTTGGTAGCCAGCACACAGAGGTAACAGATTTAGTCTCTTAGGAACCAGCAAACAATTTGGTCAGCAGGAGTGAGGTAAACAAACATAAAACCAGGGCTTAGCTCCTTCTGCAAAGTGTATGGGGATAGGAGACATGTTCCCAGCRACAAATTCCATAGACTGTTATTCGTGGAAATTTTCCTAGTAAACATAGATGCTTTAAAGCAGTTCAGAGGGGAGTGGGATGGCTGACAAGAAAAGGAGGGGTCTTGGAAGAGAAACAATGCAAAACACAAGTATTTAACAGAATCTTCTTTAAATCTCTTCTGGACAAAAGAGGCAGTTTAAGTAGAAAGTTAGTCTTTTTTTTTTTTTCTTTTTTGGTACTGGGGATTGAACCCAAGAACACTTAACCTCTGAGCCACATCCTCAGCCCTTTTTACACTTAATTTTATTTAGAGACAGGGTCTTGCTGAGTGTGGTGGTGCACACCTGTAATCCCAGTGGCTTGGGAGGCYGAGGCAGGAGGATTGCAAGTTCAAAGTCAGCCTCAGCAAAAGCGAGGCACTACGCAACTCAGAGAGACCCTGTCTCTAAATAAAATACAAAACAGGGCTGGGGTTGTGGCTCAGTGGTCAAGTGCCCATGAATTCAATCCCTGGTATCCAAAAAAATTAAAAATTAAAAAAAAATAGATTCAGGATCTCGCTGAGTTGCTTAGGGCCTGGCTAAGTGGCTGAGGCTGGCTTTGAACTCAGTCAAGCCGCTGGGATTATAGGTGTGCACTGCCGCACCCGACACAGATTTTCTTAATACAGAAATAACTCATAGATACCAGATGTAACTAGACTACATACCCTTCAGGCAAACTTCTATTATAGTATTTACGCCAGGCAGATTTAACCAAATATTCCTAAATCATATATAGTCACTTTTCCGTGATGCCTGATACAGGTAATATAATGGGTTCCAGTCCCTTGCAGTGGGCAGGGATTCCTTTCCCCTTTTGAAAGTTGAGAACCTGATAAGGATGTGTAACTGGTCTCTTCTACCCAACATGARGCTCATTCTGTTGTGCACAATGCTTTCCTTCCGGGGGGGAAAAATCAAGGGTATAGATTGTCGGTGTATTCTCAATYGGCTTCAAAATGAGCAGGTTTTTATTGCAGTGAAAGAACAGCAGAGTGATGACTGTACATATCAGCGAGCAAGCTGAGGGAAACTTGGTCTCTAAGCAGTGAGCAAGATCCTTCTTATCTTGAGCATCATCCTTTTTGTCTGTTTTTCCTGTGGTGTTTGTATTAAGATGATCATCAGCTATATTTACACAAAATTGTTCCTGTCACGGTTCATCAGTTCCGCTGCTCCTTTTCCATCTGAAGCCTCCTCTCCAGCATGGGGCAGCTGGTTGTTTCTCAGAGAAATAACTTGGAGGACATCAGATGTGTGTCAAACAGTAGAAGGAAGTGAGGCCTGAAATGAAGGCACGGGAGCCGTTTTTAAGGTATAGAAATGAGGGCCCCCAGAGAGGGGGCAAAAAAAGAAAAATCACAGAAGCTGCATTTTGTAGGAGTACAGATGTTTTTAATTGCTTATGCAGAACTTCAAATATCTAGACATCTAAATGGCAAAAACTTGCTTTTGATTTTCAACCTAAAAGATGCATTTTTTTTTTTGCAACATGAGGTGATAAAAATTATGAAAGTAATAGGCTCAATCCTACACCCTAAACCAGAAGTCAGGATAATTATCCCATCAAAAACTCCCTACTCATGCCATCCTTGGAAGGAGCAGTCTTCTCCCTGGAAGAAAACCCATGGAAGAGTTGGCTCTGAGGGTCTAGTTTGTATTCCCACAGGAATGAGGAAATGATCTGGAAAAGAATACAGAGAAGGAGAAAGAGTAGAGTGTTAGTGGAATATTAAGTCCTCTGTTATTAGATGTGCCTGAAGACTATGATGCTCAAATTAATCTGCATCTTCTCTTTAATGAGATAAACCACATGAAAAATAGTAACCTAAGTTTAAAAAAATTACTCTTATTCAAACTAATCTGTTCATGATCAAGAAAGCTGATGACAGCCCTCAAATTAAGTCCAAGATAAGTTCATTAGTAAATTTATGCAAAAAAAAAATGAGCCTCTTGATGTGGAATGTTAAAGAAGTATTCACCACGATAAAAATCCACGTTAAACCTCTTCTATTGAGTAGGGTTTTTATTTCATCTGCACTTTATTACAGAATCCTAGGCCTTATGATTATTTTCCTCAGTGGTTAACACTTGGTGGCAGGCATAAATAMATAMATAMATAAATAAATAAACCTACCTAAAAATTTACCCCCCCTTTTTTTAAATATATGCAAGGATGACTTAATACGTAACTGCAGAGGGCAGTTTGCATGTGATTATGCAAATTGGCAGGTTTCCTTAAGGTTTCTCATGATCAGACTCTCTAATTGAAAATGTGGATAATAAAGGGACTGGCAAATGGCTGAAGGAAAATTATTTAAAGGGAGATTATTGTCTGGCATTCTTTGCCAAGTAACTGAAATTTCACTTTATCTCTGATAAAATATTAATTAATTTTAATAAGTAGCTATTGAGTATCTGTTTTCATGCCTGGGGCTGTACGGGATGAGATAAGGAGGTTATTATTTTCCAGGCAGGATCAGATTAGTGCAGAGATATCTTCATATAAAACACAATACAACTGGTCATAAAAGAAACACAAATAAAGGATTTAAAGAATGGAGAGCTCCTTCCTATTTTGAGAACCAAGAAAGCTGTATTAAGAGACAACTTTTGAGTTGGGATTTGAACAGAAGAGATAGAATAAATAGGATTTCAAGCAAAAGAGCTGAGAGGATACTCCACAAAGGGCAAATATGGACTTCAAGTGCATATTCTGAGAGTAGTAGAGCGTCCAAATTGACTGAAGGGTGGTTAGGGAGCTAGGATGAAAAGCAATGGGGCCTGAACGAGGGTGGCAGCAGCAAAATGGAAATRGCAGCAAGAGATTCTGTAGGTATTTCAAAAGTGTCATTTAGGAGAAATCAGATCTTGGTACTGAGGCCACTCTTTCTGTAAGTTCCTACAGAGTCAGAGTTCATTCCAAGTGGACCCAAGCTGTCAGGCTAAGCTAAACCAATCAAATTTTATTAGTACCCACAGGCCGATGGAGCTCAGGGTACAGATGCTGAGCTGAGTATTTGAGTATGAGTCCAAGCCCTTCTTAGAGGTCATCAGAACAGACAGATATCTTGAGCCAATCAGCTTGGGAGAGCCATCTTCAAAGATTACTGAAACCATTAGATTCCTTCAGTGAAGCTTGTTCTTAAACATGTTTTGGATTTTGCAACCCAGGGCTATGCTGGGTCCCCATTATACTGAGATCATGAGACCACATGTGAACAGGAAAGTCAGTCCATCTTATCTCCATTACAATTACTCCCTGGAGTTTCCATGTTGGCTTAATTCCTGATGGGCCAGTTCTAAATGCTCCCAGGATGAGCACTAGCTGTTTTTCTAAGCTTTCTGTTTGCATTTAGGAAATGCTGAAGGAGATGAGAGGAGAAGCATTTTGAAAAGTAATTCCCTCGTGTGTCCTGACATCAAACCACCCCTATCCTAGGCACTCATGTTGTCTTACATAAGTCCAGATCCAAGGCTTCCAGAGCTGAAAACGAAAAGACCTCTGTATCAATCACTATTCACCCACCACAGACATGCAAGTCATTTATCCACCAAACAAAGGAGCAATCTAAGGAGCCTGGCAGAATGACAGGCTCACAAAGCATCTGCATGCACCCTAAGATTCATTCATTCATTTGYTCAACTTACATTCAGTGAGTGCCTACCCCATTTGTTCTATAATGAGGGTACATTAGTGATCAAATATGGGGTCTGGGAATAAAAAATTTACATGGTGGTGGTGGGGCCGCAGCAGGCATCCTGGTGACAGGGAGAGGGGTCTCTGATGATGCTTCTTATCTGCAGGAAGGGACCAGCCCAGCCCTTCTGTTATTAATGGCTTCCATGATTACTTCTATGAACTGCAAGGCAAATTTTCCCCTCGAGTAATCAAAATAATTGCCTGGGGAATGGAGGCTTAGGAAGAAAAGGAGTCAGCTGTGGAGAACACTAATGAAAGGGAACAAAAACACCTGATGGGGACAGCATTAAAGGGGAAATAATTGAAGAAAAAAAAGCCTCTAGAAATAGTTTTGTGTAAAGAAAGTAGCAGTAYAGCCCTGAGAATCACCATCAGTTTCCAGGGGGCTCACTTCTGTCCCACATCTCTGCTTAAAAACTATACTGACATCCTCAACCTGCCTAATGGGCTTTGTTCTTCTCATCCTTAGGGGACTACTGGATTTGAAGCACACATTGATAAGTGTTTGGAGCTGGCAGAGTATTTATACAATATCATAAAAAACCGAGAAGGATATGAAATGGTGTTTGATGGAAAGGTATGTAATTCAGAGTTCCACAATCCCCAAAGTTTGGTGGATTCCAATTCTTATCACTGATATTTTCTGATATACATAATGTGCTGTCCAGCTACGTGGGATCATTACAAAGGGGAAGTAGGGAATGCGGGGTAGCTCTTCTGGGCCGGTATAAAGACCAGACTCGCAAATAACTCTATGTAATGTGAAAATGAGGTACTCCAAAGACCACTACTGATTTAGAAGTAGGAATTGTACTCTGAAACTGACAGGTAAGCAGATTTGAAATGCCTGTGGAATTTTCAACATGGCCAGTTTGGGCTACATGTGAATTTTACTCTCCTCTTTGTAGCCTCAGCACACAAATGTCTGCTTCTGGTATATACCTCCCAGTTTGCGTACTCTGGAAGACAATGAAGAGAGAATGAGCCGCCTCTCAAAGGTAAGTGCTGAGTTGCTTTGATATGTGTGCATATTGGCCCTGTCATATGCTTATGGGCTTTATGACATATGTGTATCTTTATGAGAAATCCCACCTTAGTGCAAGGACCTCCCCCCATTCTGTGGCTCCCACAGAGCCAATATAGCTAGACTTTCCACACACCTGTTTCTTGTTTTTTTGTTTGTTTGTTTGTTTTTTTGGTTTTTTTTGAGAGAGAGTTTTGGATATCTTAAAATAAGCGATTAGGTGATAACATTTACTGGCATTCAGAAAAGCTGCAAGAACCTTTGTTGATGTTCACTGATTTTCCAAGCAAAACTGGTACTCAGTTATGAGCACAAAAGAGACTTCAAGTGCCAGAATCTTTAAAAATCAGAGCTGCTGCTGACCCTCTGGAGAGGCCAAGGTTAAGCTTGCCCCAGAAAATAATAATAATCAGAAATAAAATRACAGCCACTATTTAGTGTATGTATTAGTCCCAGGGAAACGTGAYTTGGGCATTAAGTCACTTAAAGTCTCACAGCAGACTGGTGTGGGTTGATGTGGGGAAGTACTGCTGTCACCCATTTTACTGATGGAGGAACTGAAGAACAGAGAGAAAAAGCCAGTTTCCCAAAGTCATGAAAACTGTCTGACTCTAGAGCCTGAGGCTTGAACTTCTGATTCTACTCTGGTCAGTAAGCTGCCTTTTATCTTTAATTATTTTTCATACCTTTCCCCAGCATTTACACATTGGGCAAACATGGTTTACAATGCTCACCTGGGGAGACAAATGCAGGACCCATCTCCCGTGGCTCTGTAAAAATAGGAACTAGGGATGATCATGTGTATTTGCATCTCTGAGCATCTGTTAGTTTGGGGGTTTCTTCATTTACCATAGAAGAAGGACCCTCCTCCAGTCACTTCCAGGAGCTAGACAGGCCTGCTCCCCAGCTTTTAAGGAGCTGCACCAACTCATTGACCTTTCAGAACACTTTGTTTAGAAATGTAAAGAAAGATGTAAAGAATGGAATTTTTTATAATTGTAAAGGCCTCTGAAAAGCTTAAAACATCTATCCTTAAGGGACCCAGAATCAAACTCCTCATGAGGAAGAAATTTACATGCTGCTGAGGTCTTCGGCCTGTAGAGTAGTGGTTTCTAACCGCAGTGTTAGAAGCATCCAGAAGCTTTACATCCAGGATGACCAGATCTTACCCTGGAAATTTAACCCAATCACTCTTGGATGGTGGTGGGAGTGGTTCTAAAAGTGCTCCAGTTGATTCCATGTGCAGCCAGGCTGAGAACGTGGAAGTAAGCATGTAGAACCTGGATCCCTGGGACATGTATCTAGGTTGGCAGAGGCTGCAGTTATATTGAATTGATTCATCTCAAGAAATCAAGCCCAAGAGGCGGGAGGGAGGGAGTAGAGAGGTCACATTAGACTAGACAATAACCACAGGTTAAAACTTACAAACAAAAGCAACTGGGGTTGACAGTCATTTGAGAGAGAAGCCTAGAGTTTTCTGGTGTTGCTTTTCCATATTGTAAATTATCTTAATAATGACTAATTTTCTTTTATAAGCTTGTTAGTTAGAAGTTAGTTAAAAATTTAGACTTTTCCATTCTTGTTGCCCTCTGTTTCTTTAATCAACCCACTAACCACATAGAGATTGCAGAGTGGTTCAGCTGATGTCATTTGTTCACTCAGTTCATTAGCACTGCGCTGAGGGAGGGGCAAGATAGGAATACAGACCCGAAAGTTCTTTTTCTTCATTTTCTGAGAAAAAGTCCAATTCTGAGGCTAATGCATTTAAATACAACCCTTCAAATGRCTCTTGGACTTGAGTTTATCATGTAATCTGTGTTACGAATGGAAATTACTTCCTGAAGACGGTGATTACAATCTGTATTAGTAGACCGTGTTTATASTATTAATCATTCAAATCTGAAAGTCTCTGAGAATGGCAAAACAAATTCTGATTTTTCTCTCAGCTGTGACTCAATTTTCATGACTATAATACAGAGAATTCCGATTTGGAAATGAAAATAGAATCACATGAAATATTGAGGTTAGCTTTTGTCCATCTTTTTCAGTAATGTTTCTGAGTTTCAGAAAACTTCCCTAATTAAGTATAAAACCCTTAAATTATAATGTATAGGAACCAGTAAAATCTCACACACTTAGGAGAGAGCTGAGGTGAAATAATCCATAATATCTGGTATAATAGTAATACCCACATGCGCATCTATTTGCATTTAAATTTAAATTAGTTAAAATTAAATTCAACTAGAAGTTTGGCTCTTCAGACATA